GAATCACAGATTCTAGAATGTCAGGGTTCTCTTGTTACTGTTCCCTTCTGTGGTGTCCCAGGGCTATGAGCACACGCCTGTGGCCTGCTCTCCTGGTGTGCTGCTGTGCCACTGTGTTCATTATGATTTCAACGTAACTTCCTGAGGTTGGACCTGGGCCCTCTCCTACTAAGACCATCTTCACAGGAAACCAGTTTATGTGAACTTCTAGGAGAGAGGATGAGGGTTGGCTGTTCTGACTTTGTGCTTCTGCACCCGGGATGGTTCCCCGCGTGGCCCAGCACTGTGCTCCTCCTGGTGTGCAGCCATGGTCCCCACGCGGCCGAGCACCATGCTCCTCCTAGTGTGCAGCCGTGGTCCCCACGCGGCCCAGCACCATGCTCCTCCTGGTGTGCAGCTGCGCCTTCCTTTGCTCTGCACTCCCAAGTCCACTCCTGGTAGCTGCCCACAGTGGTCCTCCCTCTAGAACAGTTCTTTATAATCAGCTGAAATGTGCAAGATGCCCCCAGCTCCTCAGCTGCTGCTCTCGACCACACTGAACTGCCCAGTGAGGACCCACTGGCTGTCGGGGATCCCTAGTCTGTCACAGTGACTTTCCCTGTCTCCTCTGCATGCTGCTGAGGCCATGTAGCTTATATTCTGAAGACCATGGCAATACCCTCGTGTCTGGCTTAGCTGTACATTTTGCCTACAGGAGTAGATTTTCCTGAGTTGCCCAGGCTGACTTCCTGGATATTTCAAAGATAGACAAGGCCTATGAAAGTTTCTCACCATCTCCCAAGATTTCTAGTCTTAAATATAAAATTCCAAGAAATCAAGATTCCTGCATATTGTAATGATAAGAAAACATACACCTTCTTCTAAGTGAAAGGTTGATTTGTCTTACCCTAGAGGAAGACAGATGCTGCCCCAAAAATTGGAAGATCCAGGAAAACATTTGCTTGCTAAGAATCACTTAGAAATCAAACATAATAAATCAAAGCAGTTCTCTACAAAGGCATCTTTTCTCCTTTTTTATTTTGAAAATATCAAACCTACAGAAAAGTTACAAGAATAGAAATGGACGCCCATATGCCCTTCATCTAAAAGTCATCTAAAGTTTTAATAACTTGACACATTTATTCTATTTCTCTCTACATTCACATTCTCAGACTCCCCAACCATATCAAAGACAGTGCAGGCATAATTATCTTTCATACTTGAGTACTTCTGAATGAATTTCCTAAGAATAAAAACATTCTGCTATAATTTTAATTTCATTGTTATAATAACATTATCTAATGTATAGCACATATTCAGTTTTCCCAATCGTTCCAAAAATGTCTTTAGCTTTTCAATCCAGGATATAATTAAGGACTATGCAGAGCATCTGATGGTCATATTTCTTCAATCTCCTTTAGTTAGAACAGTCCTCCCACTTGTTTTACTTGACATTTACTTCATAGAGTTGTCAGGAAGATTAAATAAAAATAATACAAATAAGTGGCCAGCCCACCTGCATACACACTATCTGACAATGCTCAACAAATACTAATTCCCTCCCATCTGCTGAAAGCACACACTGAAGCCAGTATCCTAGTTTTATGTGACAGCTCTACTTATTGCAATACATCTTTAAAGTGGCATCTAATTTTAATAATCATACTTAATATGTTCACACCTGAAAACTTGGGTCTTTTTCAATGCTTCTGAGATGGTCAGACTGAGAGCCACAGAGGGGTCATCTCCCAGCTTCAGGAGGCCACAGTGAGCCCCTGCCACTGAATACTCAGACTGAACTAGGAGTAACAAGGCACCATCCAGGGACCACACTCTCTATGGGTTCTTGTGTCCAACTTCTTCCCCTATAAAATTTGCCCATTAAGATTATCTGTTTACATAGCAAATTGTACTGCAAGCTACAACTGGCCAAAGCTTCTGCTAAACTCTAGTGATAAAGAGGGCATCCAATGACCATGTTCTGTTTCACATGACTAACTGACCAGGAATTTGACCTGCCTTCCATCTCAAGCCATTTAATAACCATAATTCTGGTTCTGGTTTGGTTTTATCTTAAAATTTAGAAGAAGGCATTGCCTGACTACAAATCCTAAATTGCAACCTCACTCTCAACTTAGAAGAGCAGAGACTACTCTCTGCCAAAGGCAGAAAGAAGTACAGAAACATAATAAACAAGGCAGCACTGGGCATGTACATTCAAAAGGCCACCCCAACACAAACAGCTGAGGTCTCCACCTGAGGCCTTCTAGATCCTTCCTCAAGAATAACATGACGCAGGCAGCCTGGAGTGGAGGCCCGGTCCCCAGCCTCTGACTGCTCACATGCCAGAAGTCCCAGCCAGAACTCTACTTCCCAAGAGCACCGGGGATGATGCCCTAGCATCTGCAGGAGAGGTGTCTGGATAGGTTCCCAGGCCTGGACACCATCTATGCTGCCATACTCCCCTCTTGGGACAAAGAAGTCCGAACCCAGGCAACCCTCTGTCCACTGACAGAAGACTGCAGCTCAGTGGCAAAGGGCAGTTTACAAATGGGGGCTGAGGGCATCTGCTTCATCTGATATCTTTAAGTGCTGATATAATGTTCAATCCACATGAGTTTTTCAGTTTCTAACATGGTGCAACACTAAACTTTTTTCCTACCTTTACTATATTGTAAAATTAATATTTCATTAAGAACTAGCATTTTATGCAGATTGCACAATGGTTCTTAAACACTGCAGAGAATACAGAAGGTGACTTCTATGAGGGATATATGGACTGGATTATGTAATGAAGTCCTGGCCCGCAGTGGGATGGCATCAGGAGGTGGGCAATCAGGAAGCAGGTAGGACAAAGTTCTGAGTACCACCTCCTGATGATAGCCTCCTCCTGTAAGAAGAGAGGGGGCAGCAGAGCTCCCACACTGCACTGCATGAGGTCACAGCAAGAAGATGGCCATCTGCAGACCAGGGGAGAGCCCCTGCCGTTAACCAGACCTGCCAGCACCCTGACCATGGACTTCCAAGCTTCCACACACATAAGACATCAGCATGCCGCTCAGTCCAGTAGGCTGTGGTGTCTTGTTGCAGGAGCACAAGCTAAGACAGAGCAGCTTGCTGGATCTTGACATAGCCACACTATAGGGAACCAGCACAGGAGTTTACTGCCATATATCTGCGCAGGAAGCCAAAACTTTCAATAACTCCCTGAAGAGATCTTTTGGGGGGAAATCCTCACCAGAACAAACAGGAATACAACGTGGAACCCCTCACTGAGGGGAGAAGCAGCAAAAGAAGCCTCACTTGTGACCTGCTCTGCAAATGCGGACACCCTTAGAACCTATCTAGGTGCGGTGACAGAGGACAGTCGGGATCCTTTACCCTACTCTAAAGCAAGGAGACAGGTAGGAAAGAACCAATCACCGAGGCACTTCCAGGAAGAGCACTAGAAGTGGGCAGGTGAAGAACAGAGCAGCAGGGACGCAGCGGGACAGACTTCTGCCACGAGTGGTCAAGGTGGCTTCACTCCAAGGGGAGGTTTAGACTAGGGGCTGCAGAATGAGGAGCAGGCCATGCAGGCTGTGCAGCAGGGCCATCGGGTGAGGAAAGGGCAAGTGCGAAGGCCCCAGCAGAAATGGCAGGGTGCACTTCTGCAACAAGGTCACCCCAAAGCCAGAGACTCCCAGAGGGAAAGAGTATGGAAGGGAATTTCCCGTCACATGAAAACAAAACCCACAGCTGGTCGTGCAGTGTCTTGCATTCACTGAACAGCACTGTTTCCCCACATGCAAGATGCTGGGACAGACTGGCTGGGAAAGAGAAGCCCAGGCCGCTGGATCTGCTGCCCCTAGGGCTGCGGGGCTAATTCTTTTCATGTCACCCAGGAAGCTTCCTGGCCCAGGCCCCAGACAAACATCATCAACCCACAGGGCTCTTCCAGAAGAAGCACACTCGTGAGTCTAGGTGTTCCAAGGACTCGTTCACACAGCTAACACTTGCAAACTCACCGTGTTCCAGGTGGTGTGCAAGTCCACATGATCACCCAGAAATGGGGCTAACATCCTTTCTTAAATTGGAGATTAAGGTATAGAGAAGTTAAGCTACCCGAAGTCACATACTCAGTAAGTTCTAGAGACAGAATCCACTGGCTGTCTCCAAGAACAGCCACGTTACAGACTGAAAGTTTGCGTCTCCCTCCAAAACTCAAATGTTGAAGCCCCAGCTCTCAACCTAACTTTATCTTGTGACAGGGCCTGTGAGGTGACAGGAATGGGGCCCTAATGTAATAGGCTGGGGCCCTTTTAAGACGAGAAACGGGTACCAGAGAAATAATCTCCCTACCCTCCATGAGAGGTAACAACCAGAAGATAATACCTGCCATTCAGAAGGAAGACCCTCACCAGAAACCCACCATGCACCATGATCTCAGACCTTTGGCCCCAGACTGTAAGAAATAAACTTCTATTGTTTAAGCCATGCAGTCTGTGGCATATTCATTAGAGCAGACTGGGCTGGCTAATATACCCACAAAGCTGTCAATGAACACAGGGACCCAGCTTCATCATTTGGCATAAGTGATCTGCAGAATCTTAGCCCTTGTCTGCCAGTCCTAACATCGCAACAAATACAAATGCCCATTTTCCCAGACTCTATCTCCTTGCAGAAATCAGCAGACCCAGAGGAAGCACTTGATCATCACCGTTAATTGGAAGTCTGCAAGATCACAGCAGTTAACTGGAAAAAATGCAGCAATTCCTACATTCCACTAATTTAGGCTGACCTCCTGGCAAATGAGCACAAAATGGTAAAGAGTGAGAATTAAGAAATCATTTAGCTCAAATGTACTTTTATTACTTTAGGCATATGCAGTAACTCACTCTGCTAACAAAGTGCCAGAAGTCTCAGTCGCTGTAGCAAGCAACTGGCCAGCAAGTCACAAAACAGCACAGCGGGCCTCAAGCAGGGGATGGGGCACTGCACAGGAGCAGAATGTGCCGGCTGAACTTGTGGGAAGCACTCACCATCGCTGAGGTCCTGGAGGAGATTCTCCTGGCAGGAAAAGTCCAGCTTCGCCTTGATGCTGATGGTGAAAGTAGCCACCTTCCCAGGCTGCAGCGGGAACTGGGCCAGGGTTTCTTCCAGCTTCCAGCTCAAGAAGTCACCGTATAGCTTTTCTAGGATAACAACAATGGTACAGATGAAGCACGGGAGGCAATGTACTTGCTGATCCCCCTAGAAAATGCTGACACATTCTTAAAAGTAATGAGAGATAAAAGCACTTAAGAGGCAAGAGATCAAAGAAAACTCCAGAATCAAGAGATGCTGTGAGGCAGTCGCCCCTGTTTGTGGAAAGGACTGGTAGCAGAGAAAGAGGTGGTCCACTCGGCTCTTCAGACTGAGTCCTCCACTCCTGATGAGCAGCTCCTTCTCACCCATGAAGGAAACATCGTCTCTAATCCTATAAACTAGAGTTAAACTAAATTTCTACATGAGATTTTCTGTAACACATCGCTTTAAAGAGGAACAGACCTAAGTTTAGTGGAGGAGGCATCCTCAAGTGAGGAACTTCTGGAAAAAGAGAGGACACGGTTGCAGTGGGACCTGAAGGGGGCAGTCTCGGGGGCGTGTGGAGGAGAGTGCTTCCCTGGCTTCACTGCAAATCCGCCTGCCTTACAAGATCTCGGTACTAGATGAACAGGCCTTGAAGTGGCCACCCTTGACAAGGTCTCTCCGTGTGCCCAGGAGGTTAACCACCCCTGGCCTGAGGTGCTACTTGCAGATTAGACACACCCTCTGCAGACCAAGGGAAGATGGAAGCACTAAAGCAAAACATCCTGAGAGAGAGAAGGAGAAGACGGGGCCACCTGTGCCCCTGGGAAAAGCGTATCACCTCTGGTCCCCCGGCTCCCCGCAGCCTCTCCTTCCCTAACCATTGAGGACATAAGACAAGACCAAAAATCAAGGCCTGGTCCACATGCTGCATCCCACCAAGCAGAACAGGAAGGGACCTGGGGGCCTTGAATGGCCTCCAACAGCCTCACACAAGTTTCCTACTGGCTCTTCCCATAGGTGAGGTCCCGGCCAAGTAGCCCTTCTGTTAAGAGATCTACACACAATCCTGCTGGTTCCTGAGAAGTAGGCTCCAGTTCCCTGCCAGTCTCAGAAATATCAAATGAGCCCATAGGGATGGGGCACCCCACCCACTTAACAAGGTCTGCTCCACTGCCCGAGTTGGCCGTTCACTCTTTCCTCAGTGTCAGCCCATGAGTACCTGTGATGATAGACTGCCATCAATCGCCTCTGCACCACGGTGCGTGTCTCTGTTGGGCCACCCCCACAGCCAGGGGCGAGAATCCATCCTCCCCAAGGCAGAACCAACAGCCAGCAGGCCCTGCCCATCTTCTCATCTCTCTCTAGAGGGCCTGGTTTCCTGACCTGCTACTACCCTCTTCCCGTGGCCCCTCTAGTCATGGAGTGGGGGGCAGCTAGCTGCTATTCCTACCCACTCCTTTCTGTGAAAAAATTCTCTATGCTATTTCCTTTGTCTGAATAAGGAAATGGAGGCTGAGACTAAGGAACTTCACAAACTAGGGAAAATGATCCAAAGCCATTACATTCACTTCCTGCACAAAGGTACTTCATGGTAGAGTTCAAATAGAAAGTTCTGGTTTTAGCTGGGCACAGTGGTGCATGCCTGTAACCCCAGCAACTCAAAAGGCTAAGGCAGGAGGAAAGGGAGTTCAAGGCCAGTCTAGGAAATTTAGAGATCCTGTCTCAAATATACAATTTTTTAAAAAGAGCTAGGAATGTAGTTCAGCAATAGAGCACCTCTGAGTTTAATCCCCAATACCAAAAAAGAAAAAGAAGTCTTGGTCTTAGGGCCCTGAAGCTAATCCAGTAGAAGGAATTCAGGAGACGACAGAGAGCTCAGAGGTCCACATGAAGGAAGGATCAGTGAGGTCCACTGCTAACTGCGAGAACCCAAGGCCAAATGGTGCCACGATGTACAACCTGCTCATGTCTGCCAGGCAGGAGGGGACCTCCATCGTGACGTCCTCCAGAGCTGGCCACGCTGGGGTTCAGCTCAGCTAATAGCCATGGGCATTCCTCCTGGCCTCCTGGAAGAGAGGTGCTAGCCAATGGGAGCAGACCCAGGGACGGAGTCCCTGAAAGGTGCTTAGAAACCACACCACACTCCCTTGCTTACTTAGCCATTCGCTGGACACCTCGAACGCGCCAGACACTTTCCACATGTGCCATGCTTATTCACCCCATTAACCACTGAGATCACCACTATCGCCCTGCTGAAAGCCAGGTGGTGGACACACGTGACTCGGGTCACCTGCCAAGTAAGCAGAAGACCTGGCACCTGACAGGTGCTCAACGAACATTAGCAGCACCAACTCTGCCCCTTAACCAGGTCTCCAGGTGTTGTGCAAACTGGTGTCAGGACCCACTCAGCACCATCTGGGAGGGTGGACCCTGGGAGGAAAAGGCAGCACTGTTGAGAGGGCTGTTCCCAGGGAGCAAAACTGCAATGACAGCAATGGCTTGGTAGCCCTAGGTTGGGATGGTTTCCAGAGGCTGTGGGTGTCAAAGGAGATTCTCATGGAATCTAGGCACAGACGCAGAAATAGAGAATTAGAGGAAAGTAACCAAGTCTCAGTGAGGAGAGAGAGGAACGGTCCAACAAAAGGAACCTAAGAGAGAAGAAAGCGCGTCACATCAGAGATCAGCCACTGAAATTACAGGGTAAAAATTCAAATGCTCCAGCAAACTTTGGGGAGAAATGGCAGAGAATGGCCCCCCCACAGGAGAGAGGCAGGCACTTTTGATGGTGCCCTGTATCAGGGCCAGGCAATAATGGGAGCTGACAACAAGGACGACAATCTACTGGGGCATGTGTGTCACCATCTGAGTCTCCAGACTCAACCCTGCCAGCTTAGGAAACCTCTCGGAAGCCATGGATTCACTCCAGCAGCCATGCTACTGGCAGGTGGTCAAATGCCTAAAAGGAGTACGACCAGGTTAAGGAAAAGTGAGCCCCAACTCCCCAGGTCAGCTCTGCCTCCCTTTCCACTTCCTGCATGGCCTTGGCCCCGCAGGGCCCTCCAAAGGAAGGTGGAGGGAGCACGTCCAGCGAACCAAGGCAAAAACTGAAACAGCACTGGTGAAGTGCCGTCTTCCAACACGCACGAGAGCGACATCATTCCCGAGTCAAGACAGAGACAACGGAAGCTCAGAGTGCCAGCATTCACACCAGGCCATCAACCTGCAGGCATCAGAGCTGGGACTGGCCAAGACTGGGCTCTCTCCAGAATCCTGTCCACCTGTGTGCCCTCCTCTGCCAGAGACCATTACCCTGGCCAGCACTTCAACCAGAGGTTTCCAGGAAGACCTCGTGAAGGACATGTGACCAAGCGCCTTGAAAGGAGAAGGCGGGCGGAAACACAGCAGGGGCCAGACCCTGCCCTAGGCATGTGTGCAGCCACACAGCCACGCGTCCTCCCTCACCCCAGGTCCTCCCTCACCCCAGAGGCCTCAGTGGTAAATGGAGACAATAGCGGAGTCACTGTGAAGACAGACGAGGTGCCACACGGACTCAGCACAGCACGGGCACGTGGAAACTGTGGGGGAGGCACATGAACGTCTCTAGAAACCACGGAGCCCAAAAATATGTGCTTTTCCGGACCTCTGTCACCGTCCACTCACCCAGTGAATAGCCATCGCACCGCCACCCACATCCTCATGGCAGGCAGTATGCTGGCTTCTGGGGACAGAGGAACAATGCCAGAGTCTGAAGGAGATTTCTGATCGTAGAAAGACACAGGCATAGGAGAAGCCCCCCAGACTTAGACCAGATGGGAGATGAAGTCTTCCTCAATCTAGAAATTTCTCAGGAAGTTATACCTCCAATTACACTGAGAACAGTTCAATAATTGTTGAATTAATTGCCTAGAACTAAAATAAGACTCGCTGTCCTTCCTGGAAGGGTCCCAGATCTGCAGCAAAAAAACAATTCAGCTATCAGTCTAGCCCACCATAAATTTACAGCTGGTTAGGGATACCAAATTCAAACACTCTAACCACAGCACCACTCTTGCCTCTTTGGATGGCTTTTTGTTTCATAAGAGTGTTTCAACTGAGAGTCTGACTCTGTAAAAATTAACTCTGGGAAGTCCCCCAGGTTTCCCCCCAGTCTTGACTGCAGGATGCCCAGGAACAAGGAGGTCAGGAGGTCAGGAGGTCATGGTCTGCCAGACAGGTGTGAACTTGGAGAAATGCCACCGAGACTTCAGCTGGGCTGTGGGGGCACCTGTCAACTGCAGCCCAGAGGAAGAAAACGGGAGAAAGCAAGCACCCCAGGCCCACACGCTGCTCTGGTGGGCACGTCCACCAGCCGGCCATGCTAAGCTCTTTGCCTGCGCTGCCTCAGCGATTCACACGCCACTCTCTCAGAGGCCCCACCAGTGTACCCGCTTAAGGAGGCTGCTCAAGACCACCCAGAAGTGGGGATGGCCAGTGTTCAACCCTTCCCCAACAAACCCCTCCCTCATGTTCACTTGTTCCATCCTAAAAACAAACCCATGAAATGGTGCTGAATGTCAATTAGGAAGAGTACTTTTTTTCTCATTCTACTCTTGTGTACCATGTGTTCTGACTTGGATCTGCAATGTCCCTCAGAAGTTCACGCGTGGAAGGTCTGATCCCCAACGCAGCTAGGTTCAGAGGTGGGGCTCTGGGGAAGGGACTGGATCACGAGGCTCTAACCCCATCAGGGGACTTGTCCTTCTGATGGACTAATACTGTGAATGGGCCACTGGGAAGTGACAGGAAGTGTAGGCAGGTGGGGCATGACTGAGGAAGTGTGTCACTGAGGGTGGCCCTTGTACACTGTATATTGTCCCTGGCCCCTGACCTCTCCCCCACTGTTTCTGGGCCACTGTGAGCAGAGCAGCTTTTCTCTGCCACACCCTACCCACATCTCCGCCTCAGCCAGCCAACCACGGACTGAAACAATGAGCTAAAATAAATCTTTCTTTCTCTAAGTTGTTCTTGTCAGGAATTTTGGTCACAGCAACAAAATGCTGGCTGACACAACATGATGCACCAGGAACCCAACAACTAGGAATTTAATATTCAGAACTCCCAACTTCTCCCATGCTCCACGTCT